TCTTCTCCCCTCTCTCCTCTCCCTCTCCAGGTTCCCTGGTCCAGGCAGTGCTGACTCAGCCCCCATTGCTGTCAGTGGAACCAGGAAAGTACATCCAGATCACCTGCTCTGGACTTAGCAGCAGCAGCAGCAGCTATGATTCTGTTGGCTGGTACCAGCAGAAGGTATCAGGCACTGCCCCTGTGACTGTGATCTACAGAAACAACAATAGACCCTCGGACATCCCTTCGCGATTCTCTGGATCCTTGTCTGGCTCCACAGGCACTTTAACCATCACAGGGATCCAAGCTGAGGACGAGGCTGTCTATTACTGTGGGAGCTGGGACAGCAGCAGTGCTGATCAGCGTCCTGGTGCCCCCAAGGTGGCCATGGTTGGGTGCTCCTGGTTGACTATCAACTGTCTGCCATGCATGGGGGCAGCAGTCCTAATGGTGGATGTGGAGGGTGTGACGCTCCTGGTAGCGCAGACCTGTTGTGTGGCTGGTTCCTCCTACCCTCAAAATGTCTTGTCCTGTGTCTGGTCCTGTGGCTCAGGTAAGCTGTGAGAAACACTGTCATCTCTGCCGTCCTGCTCTGGTCCCTGTGCTCCCTGCCAGTTCAGGGCTGATGCCCACCCTCCTCCGGTAACAGCAGCTGTGCGTAAAGGTCCTGTGTCAGTGTGTGAGGCTCCCCCTCTGAGCACAGGGTGCCTTGGTCAGGTCAGAAGTCCTGAAGGTTGTGGCAGGAGCTGGAGATGTCTCTTGACATGGTGGAAGCTGTCATAGTGAGGAAGGACAGCATGGGCTTGGTCCTGTGCGGGGCTCTGTTCTCAGTTCCACTGCTGCTGTCCCTGAGGGCAGCCGTGTACCCACAAGGTGTCAGTGTGGTCCCACACTACAGTCCTGAGGTTCATGGGGCAGCCATGAGGCAAAAGGAATGGGGACAACCAGGTGCCTGTGGGTAACTCCCTGGTGCAGGTAGCAGAGGGGGTGCCCCTGGCCAGGCAAGTGCGGAGAATGATATGTGCACTTGATTGGTACAAGCTCCAGCCCAAGCCTATTCGCGGTTGCTGTGAAGCCATTGCAGACCCGTGGCTCACTTGGTAGCTGGAGGAACGGGCTTGTTTCCTCACTGCTGGGTAGACTTAAAGGACCTGGTCTCTGTGTGGTTCCAGTCCCCTTCAAATCCCAGTTCTCTGCTCTGCAGTTCTATTGTGGCACTTAAAGAGAAGCAGCCCCTGCTCAGGGAGCCAGGAGGGAGGTGGGGAGAGAGATGAAGGAAGGATCCTGCCGTGAGACAATGAAGACCCATGCCCTGGGTAGGTGGGGGCTTAAAAGGGAGTTGGGGTCCCCAGCACAGCCCCACTGTGGTGGAGACACAGAGCTGGTTGGATCGAGCCATGGCCTGGACCCCTCTGCTCTTTGCGCTACTCAACATGGTTAAGGTGCCCTGGCCAGACCCGCTGCGTCCACACAGGGGCCCTGTCCTGCTGCCCGGGCAGGGCTGTGCTCCTGGGCACTGGCTGACCCCCGTCTTCTCCCCTCTCTCCTCTCCCTCTCCAGGTTCCCTGGTCCAGGCAGCGCTGACTCAGCCCTCATCAGTGTCAGTGGAGCCAGGAAAGGACGTCCAGATCACCTGCTCTGGGAGCAGCTACAACTACTATGGCTGGGTGTCACACGAGGTACA